GTGAGTTATATTTCAATTGGTTATAGGGTATTTAAGTAATTAAACAATTCAAAATAATGGTAATTTCCTTTTAAAATGTTCGTTATGAGGCCAAAAAGACATTCATCTCTTGTATTTTTAAATGTTGCGTCGAAAATCAATGAAAAATTGTCAAGTATTCTTCTATAAAAAAGTTCCATCAAGCTTTTCTTGTACCTATAGCATAACCATTAAAATTTTTGTTGTGATCTTATCATTGTGTCGTGTCTTCATGTGTGCATCTGACATGTTAATATCAATTCGAAAAACGCACTGAAAATCTGCTTGTCGTGATTGCGACTTTTGTTAGCAGTTTGTGAATACGTGTGTAACTATTGAAACATTGCATACAAGATCACAATATTTAATTATAATTAGAAAAAATTAATAATTTACAAAAGAATAATATTATTTAACATCACTGGAGTTATAACCCCAATTTATGTGGCATTAAATGATAGGTTGAATGAAATATGTAATTAAATGACTTATTTTATTTAACCTAAGATTTAATGCCACGTAGACTGTGGTTATAACCCATGTCGAGCTAAATAACATTACTCTTTGCAAAAGCGTGATGATATTTACATCCACGATTATTACATATTCATCACACTCTATATCCATCCTTATTAAAACATTATAATTTTTAAAATTTACTATTTTCATCAACGTCAAATTACAATATTATCCCTATTAAATTCATTCATTTAAACAATATAGATCCACACAAGTTTTATATATTCATCACACTCTAAATATATCCCTAATATAAAGACAACAACATGAATACAGACTAGTTACTAGATCTATTTTCATCTGCTGGAGAGAAAAAGGTATTTGCTCAGGACATTGTGTGTTTGATGCACATTTTTTAGGAGATAATGCATTTTTTTTTGTGATGTGATGGTGAATATGTGGTTGAAAAGGAAGAAAAAATTATTGATGTAATGAAAAATATTATTTTATTGAAAAATGTATGGTTGAAAATTGAGTGAATTGTTTCAAAAATCACTGAACTTATACCATCGTCACAGATTGCTCACCGAATTTCATTCTGCTTCAC